AAAAATCTAATGGTCCATCCCTTATAAATACTACATTGATTACTACATATTTTGATGAATAATGTAGTCAAACCTTTGGAACACAAAAGAAACAGAACAAAGGGTGAGAAAGTATTCAAATCTGTCTGTTTCATTATATAGCTCAGACTTCACTGTTTCGAAAAATTATTTATTTATTGCGTATTAAAATTAATACAATTTTCAAATGTCAGAACACCAAAGATTCTAAATTTCATATCCACAAAATCTTGAATATGTCTTGAACATTTTGTTATTTGCTGAACGGCTATATGTGTAAAATACTCTTTGTATTCAAGCGCTTTTGTGTACAAAATTTTGTTTGAATACGGCGAGTAGAATATTTATTTTGAATTTTTCAAGATGTCTGGTTTTACTCGCACTTGTGTACATTGTGCAATAATTGGCCATAAGAAGCTGCTGTAGCCGGGATGACGTCAAACTGACGCATGTAGGTGCAATTTGACCTTGCAAATCCATTTCTGGTCTTTGCAGGGTCATATGATACAAGCATCGTATTTCCGGTTGGGATTAACTCACTTCGAGCTCACAGTCGGACAAGAAATGGAAATATATTGATAAAAGATACAGATTTGAAGATACAGGCTTGCAAATAACACTCTAAATAGTGTTTTTAATGGGAATTCTAACAAGACTATTACAAAGACGATATGTTCGAAGGGGCCGAAGTTATTTTTGTGAAAGGTATTGCTAGTCTATATTTTTGTTCAGACAATTATGTAATTTGATAGTGTACGATCGCATTTGACTTTCAAAGGCCCATAAATCGTTACAATGTTAATAATGAGTATAACTATGTTTTGGAACTAGTTGATCTTTTATTTCTGAATCAAATGGTGGTATTTCTCTCTTCATAACATGCACTGAACCAAAGGTATGAAATTTCTAGCTGTCGATCTCTCGGGATTGACGCGACTGGGACATGATGAAAAAGAGTTAATACATACATAATATATGCTGAATTAAGAGATTCAAATTAACATGCATGAGTATAACCGGAATCCTGTTTCCAGTAATTTGGTTCAGTTAAAACTATAAAAACATCATATGATGGTGCGTTTGTATCTTCTGTGCTTTATCGTCATCACAATGAGTTTGATTGATTGATCGATTGATTTATTAAGAATCGTAATTTACAGTTGAAAACTGAATTATATACGATAAGCTTTACATGTTAAGAATAATAATTTACAATAAAAGACTATTGGATACTATGAATGAGTTTTTAAAACGTTCAGTTCGAATCCGAGGCATTAAAAATTTGTTACTTGTTCTTAAACAATAAGAGCATTCCTTTTATGGGAAATGTTAAACTATGTAGTTTATGACCACTTTGAAGTGCCTGCGAAAACAGTTTCGAACAAGTTGTAGATCTACGGTCCTGCAGTCTCTTTAGTTCGGAAGTTTCCAAGGCTTCATCGTACGAAAGTTGAGGGAAAATTCTTTTTAGACAGCGTTTTTGGACTTTCTCGATTTCAGTGCTCAAATACTTAGGTAACGAATTATGAAATACACGAGACACATATTCCAACAGTGGTCGTATACATGCACAATATATTTGGATGATATCTTTAGCTGAAACTCCTGTTCGTTTCAGTTGAGTGATTAAATACAGTTGTTTTGCCTTCGACACAATATTTTCAATGTGGATTGTCCATTTCAGATCGCTACTAACTGTAAGACCCAGGATTCTAGCATGATTAACGACCTCAAGTTCCTGGCCATTTACTAAAACAGGAGGAAGAGGAGCTACCATCTTTATTAGAAGAAAAATTAATTCGTATTTCCTTGCATTTCTCTTCGTTAAGTTCAGCAAGATTACTTTCTGACCAGGCTTGAATTTCGTTGACGGATGTCTAAATTTGACTGAGTTGGTTTTTCTAAATTATTTCAGAGAGTGTTAAATCATCAACGAATTTCCAAGGGTCAGCTAGAGTAGTTGTCAGATCATTTATCATAATAAGGTACAACCAGGGACCCAACTTCGTTCCCTGGGGTACTCAAGATTGAAGATGTCTCCAACTAGAAAAATTATTAACACCAAGAGCTTCACTCGCTGAGACCGGTCAATTAAGAAATCAATGATCCAATTTTTTGAAAACAGATCTATAAGGTCGTTTGTGATCTATAAGGTCGAAAGCCTTTCGGAAATCAAACAAAATTGTTCGAACTATGTGACCAGGTTGATCAGTAGCTTGTAGCCAACTATGGAATCATGGATATTAGGACCATCACAGTTGAAGATTTTGGTACCACACCAAACTGGTTTTTCTTGACTATTTCTAAGACGGCCGATTTTAATTCTTTTTGAATGATGAAATCCTCAACCAACTTGGAAATAATTGGGGTCAATGAAATTGGGCGAAGGAGTTTATTGATGTTCGGATTAGTTTCATTCGCTTGGCTTGCTTTACGTATGGGGGATATGTTTGCTTTCCATGCCAACAGAAATTGTTCTTGTTCGAATGAACTGTTGATAACAAGACTAATTGGGTAGGCTAATATCTCTGCAGTCTTTCAGTAGCCAAGACGGTACACCATCAGGTCCTGGTGACTTGCTTGTATTAAGAGATTTTAAATTAAAGCATACCTCAAGTTCGGTTACTTGCAATTTACATGTTAATGATGTAAAATTTTCATCACAAAGTTTGCTGGACTCATCAAGAGGTTCAAACATTTGCTGTGGTTCTAAGAAGGATTCATTTATGAAATCGGCTAACTCATCGCACGACCGCTGATCAGTGATTTGAGTGGGAAGTGAAGACTCAATATTAGTATTGTTTCGATTAGAAACTGGAGAATGACCACTGATTCGTTTGACTTTGTTCCACCAGTGTTTCGGCTTGCTATCTTTAAGGCGAGCAACTTTGGTGTTATAATATACTTCCCTACAACGGTTTCTGTTGACAAGGTTGTGATAATACTTAAACAACACATGATTACCCTCTGCCAGAGCGGTCTGATGTTTACGTATTTGGGATTTCAACTCTTGAGTCATCCACAGGACATCATTAGAATAGATTGTTTGTGTCCGCTCAGGCATGATTGTATTAAAACCAATAAAAATGAGCTTGAGTAAGGTGCTAAGTTTTTTGTCCACTGGGGTAATCAAATCTAATACCGACCAATCAATTGATGACAAATAACGCCCTAGTTGAGTTTTCTTTGTTTTCCTTAAATCCCTCGTAATAATTTTTACTGGTTTCCCATTTGTTTTATCTCTGCCTTTCGGTGAGGCGACAATTGAACAATGGTCTGAGAGGCCAAAAGGTGGGAAGCGACTAGTTTCGTCATAGAACGTATGTAAATTTGTTAAAATCTTGTCTAATGTTTATTGCCACATGTCGGGAATTTAACAATCTGCTTTAGTTTAAAATTTCTTTCAATTAACGAGGAATTAAAATGGTTAAAGTCCCCAGTTAATATAATTCCACAGTTTGGAAGATCGCTTTCTATAGCGGAAAGGCAATTAGATAAGTAATCGGACATAGTTGAGTTATTTTGGCTTGGAGGGTGATAAACGACTCCAACAACAACACACAAGACGCCATGCAGAAGACGTCTAGGGCGAATTTTAACCCACAGTACTTCTAGATCTTATATTTGGTAGTTAACTAAATGTTCGTAGGGAATCTTTTCACGAATAAACAGGCACACCCCTCCATGAATGTCAGTCATGCGGTCTTTACAAAAGACCCTGTAGCCGGGAACATGAATCACGTTATCGCTGAATGTATTGTGAAGCCATGTTTCAGTAATCGAAATTAAGTCCAAATGACTGTCCAAGATAAATGATCGAATTTCATCAATTTTAGGAGCAAGGGACATAGCATTTGTAAGCATTAAGCTAGGAGCAAACAGATATAATGTAGATGAGCTAAAATGGATCGGTGTGATATGGGTGAGGTTGTATGAGTTCACTCCGCGTAGATTAACTGGATCCCTTCTTCGGCAACTGATAAAAGTATTAATCTTTCTCACCTTGTTGATGCCAGCACGACAACCTTGTTTAGTAGACGCAAAAGCAGCAATGCCTCGAGACACTAAGTTTCACCAAGTTGGACAGTCAATCGGTCGATGAAGCGGTACATTACAAGACTTTAAAAATTCGTTCAAATAGCGTAGAAGGGACATTGATCGCAACATCATGACCAAGCCGATATATGACAAGTATAGGAGAGGATATCAAACAGATAAATAAAAGACCAAAGGCGGAGCAGCTAAAAGCATGTCCGACCCACTCATAATACATAGTTTGGTGTGGAAATGGTAACTGACGAACTTCAAAAAGAGAAATGTGCTCATGAATTGATAAAAGAAAAATATAAAGAGGTAAGCATGCATGCAGTGTTCATTCAAAAGAGTCAAAATGACATACACAATGCAAAAAGATTAACACTGCACGCATAATTGTTTTCATTATCTGTTCTTATTTCAGAGTATTTCAAAGCAAAATGAGTTGGAACAAATTGTAGAAGGTCTGCGAAAGAGGGTGGCACATAACCAGGAAACTACAATTGATTTACAACTTAAACGTCTTCGTAAAGTATGGGCCTATATTTTTGTTCTTTGTCACAGGTATGGAGCCTATTTTTGAAAAACTTACAATTATATTTATTTAATTATTTAATTCAAGGTCACTGAGAATCATCAGATTGGGCAGAGCATTGTCGGGTATACAGCTGGTGGGTGTCACGCAAGATAGAATTGATAATCATGCGCATTTGATCATATACTATAACATGTTAATTTGCGCAATATAAATATTAAATATTATGATAAGGTTATACCAATTTTTTATAAATTAACTAATTATCACTGACATCTCTCTATACTCGACCTTGCACCCCAATATAAGTGTGTTTCATTCTAATCTTTCAGCATTGCTATACACACATACAAATGCTGAATCGAATTGTGGCTGATTTCGTTGATTCATACAATGCATTTGTTTGCTTTTCTTTGCCTGTATGCATGTGGGATAATTACCTCGGGTCGGTACGACACCGAGGTCTTAAATTCGGCTCCTATTTTTTTTTTTATTGTTTTTCATTTGTGTCGAGCCGCGCGCGTAGTCGAAGATCGAAGGGCCTGCGGAGGAGACGACAACTTCCGGTAAATAAGTGTACTTCCGGCAAGCATCGGCCAAAGCGAAACGGAACCCGAAGCTGTCCTTGCACAAAATCCGCCAGAATTGTTGATTTAAAACCAGAAGATGTGATAATTTTGACATACATGTTTAGCTGGACAACTATTCTCGAGTATATGTTGATATAATGTACAATACGTCGTTAATATAGCATGGGAATACCGCGGCCAACTTTCACTTGTTATCTATTATAATTACTGACCCGAATCAAAAGTAATTATTTTCGGCTGGAAGACTACTGTACGTTGCTGCTTGTCGGGACCGTATGACAATGAACCTATCCAACGTTACACACTAGACATTTGTGAGGACATGCATATAGACATAACCATAGGCACTGTATTGCATTGTGATAGAACAGATTTCAGTTTAATTAATCGCCCTAAATTAAAATCTCCACAAGCGGAGGTCAATTATAGTGTTCTAGTTTACATATTATCATTAATGATAAGGTTTACTCAAATAGCGTATTGGATAAACACGGGAATAGAACTTATGGTGTATTCTGCACATGCGTATATCTAGGATAAAATCCCACAAGTGCAAACGAAACTATTTCTCTATAAAATTGAACTGAAAAGACTCACAGCGACCGTTTCCAACAGTGCTTCAGGCACCCGACGACACCGTATGGGGGGCCTTTAGCACTGTCACCTTCTCATCTTGGGATGTTCACGTTATCGCGTGTACATGTCAGGGGGACGAAGATGCATTATTGCTAATAATGTCTGTGTGCACTGATGCACGCTGCATTATTTTTAATAATGTTGTGTGCTATTTTAACGCGTACATAGAATATGACGCGTATAAACATTACCCCTGAGCCGGAATTTCCCTATACAACCAAAAAGGCCGCTCCCGTTTTTCAGTAGAACGTTAAATGAAAACTTCTCGACATTCGCTGATATAATGCAGAGAGAAAACAATAGGTTTGATGAGGGCAAGTAATTATTGTCAATAAAATATTAAAACGGAGCTTTGATTAACTGATTCACCATTTATACTAGTGAACTATTAAACTATCGTGATTTATACAATTTTTGGATATTTACAAGACGATTCCCTATCCACCGACCCGAGGTTAACGCCGAGTCGGCGTCTTGTTTAGTCAAAAATCGATTCAGAGATACAGCTAATTCAATTAACACCAGTGGCGTAGCTAGCGGTCCCGCTTTCCTGCCAGGTGGGACTAACAATTTCCAAAAAAATGAGGAAATGTTTTATAGTGAAGCCAACATCACAGCTTTGCTTATTGTGAAAATTTAAATATTAATTATGATAATTTTTCAGTGCTTTCATTTGTTATTTACTTAAAGTTTATGCAATATTGCTGTCTGCTCTTTGACCTCTTGTTGTCTAGCAACTGGTACCCTAATAAATTCTTTGTATTTTTGCATGGCGATAAAACATATAATCATTTTGTTTGTGGAAACACCATATAAATTTATTACTGCGAAGCTTTCGCTCCCGTAAGCCCGGATCTTTATCAGTGCTAATAATATGTGACTTGTTTAATTCACACGCCCCTTTTTATATACAAAAGTGTCGTGATCTGTTGGCTCGCGTCATTTGAAATTTAATTAAACGGCACATCAACCACGTCATTTCAAATGTAGTGAAGTGATTCCAATTAACATGCACGCATCCAAGACAGAAATTAATTTTGCACATTAAAGAGAGCATGCCATGTACTATCTAGTGGCTTTTTCCCTCCTGATCTACAGTATTGTGCTTCTCGATTTCAATTGACTCTCTCATTTTGAGAGAAAACTTATGACTATCAATCGCCAAAATGGTTGCTTCGTCCCATTTTATACGATGGTCGTAAGTCCAAGTATGTTTAGCCACAGCAGATTTATTTTGCTTGGCTTTCTCGCAATTCGTCTTGTGTTCCTTAAGACGTACTCTGAGAGATTTCGACCAGTTTCACCAATGTTTCACCAACAGATCACGACACTTTTGTTTATAAAAAGGGTGTGTGAATTAAACAAGTCGCATATTATTAGCACTGATGAAGATCCGGGCTTACGGATCGAAAGCTTTGCAGTAATAAATTTACGTGTTGTTTCCACAAACAAAACTATTATAACTGATACCCTGCAGAATTAGCTAATATCCACACAATTTATTGCTTACTCACGCAATTCGTGAATCGTATGTCTCGTGTTCCGCTGATTTTCATATGGCGGAATATGCAATACTATTTTATACAAGAAATTCTGGTTGCATAATTGGTGCAGCGCATGCCCAGAATGGTTGTTTTTAATGCTGAAGTCCCGCTATTTTATGAAGGCGGAGGTTGTTAATATTCAAACCTTTCTCACGAAGCTTTCTGCACAAGTATTCACAACTGTGACGGTGGTCATTGTAATATTACTATTCATATCATATTTGATATTGCTTTTGTGATTTGTATACAATGGCTTCAACGAACGTCACGAACCTTATGGAAAGCCATAGCGGAATTTAATTTCATTCGGTGCTTTTAGCATTATATATGTGGTGCTTTTATCGTTATACGAGGTGCTTTCTACATTATACGTGGTGCTTCAAGTTCCAGCATTATATGCTATGATTTTGACATTATATATGGGCTACAAAATGCTTTTAACATTATTTGGGACACAAGGTGCTTTTAACATTATTTGAATATGACTACCTAGCAATCACATTCATCAGTTCTCCAGGGCATATTATTACGGTATTTAAAACTGAAATTAAAAGGCTTAGTCTAGCAATCAAGCATCGTTCGCAGGAATTGTTCTGAAATATTGCTTTGATTCATTGTATGAGTATAAAACGTGAACAGAGTACCAGTCATCCATAACTGAATATTTAGTCTTATTATTTCTTATTTACAGGTTGATCAGCCTAACAAACTTGATTGGATTGTGTGGCATATGAAACATGTTTTTATATTGGCCAAGTTACAAAACAAAAAAGGTAGATGATTCGCACATCATCATTAAGTTCTTGGAAAGGAAGGGCGGCATACATCACCAATGGCCAAAAAAGGAGGATGTTGCATCGGTAGAAACCAAGTTCGTATTTACAAAAGCAAAAATTGTGCCTGAGGGCAAACATTTTGAACTTAAGGAACCACTGGAAGGAATACAAAAGCTATTCAAGACATACAAAAAGAAATACTTTGAGGAACCATTGGAAGAAGTTGTTTATACAGGTACAGTAGAGCCATCCAAGACTGCCTTTTACTTTTGGCTTGTTGACAGGGATTGGCAGAGGGAAAAGTGTTTTAAACTCAGGTTAGATGTTAATAACGACCATCCCACCAAGAATATAAATTTATTGGAACGAACAATTAAGCCTAGTGCGACTGTTTCAGTCAAGGATGATGGGAACTGTTTTTAGAGCCATTTCCTACTGGTTAACTGGTAACGAAGATCAATATGGGAAAGTGAGGTCGATGTTAGTAAGTTATATGAAAGGGGATGAGTGGAAGGAGCCTGGAAGCAAGATATAGGGGGAGATGTTGACAATACCTTACCAATAGTAACATGGATGTTCCTGCTGTTTGGGCAACAGAAACAGAAGTTCATGCTATGGCGTACTTGTTAGATACGACAATTTTTGTTTATCATTCTTATAATGAAAAGCACTCTGAGTGGTTGCCTCATTATCAACTGTCTGACAAACAGGAAAAATGTATTTATCTCGTAAATTCTTGTTATCACTCCGAGCCTGTTACTGACATATAAGCAGTCTATATACTGGGTGTATAAAAAAACTGAACAGATTTGAAATTGCTCTCCTGTTGGCCTTGGTCAACAGGGGTGCAAGGGGGATGGGGTGGAAAAAAAATCAAATGGCAAAATTTCGAAGGTTTTCCCTTTTTTGAAATTAAACTGAAGCTCATAATTGAATGCCCATATCGCTGGAAATGGCATTTCTAGGGTTCTAATTTTCAAATATGGAGAGCTTTTCAAATATGGAGAGTTTGTGCCTTGGTTTAATTTGGCAGGTTGTTACCTGCTCTTGGTTTGTTGTCATGCTTGGGTTATTGTGCAAGAAATGAAATAATCGTTAACTGCTTGGAACCCTCATCTCACATTGCAATAGCCGCATACTTCTATAAATGTTAACAACTGAGTGAGTGATGGCCTTACATTCAGAAAACGTCCTTGGAATAACACTCTATAAATAGTGTTTTGGATGCTGATTCAAACAAGACTATTACGAAAAAGGATTTGTCCGAAGGGGCTGAAGTTATGTTGGGCGAAAGGTATGGCTTGCTTTACATTGCAACATTGTTCAAGAAAATTGAGTAGCTATAGTGAAATATATGATATTGCTTGACCTCTCAAAGTTCATAAATCAACCTCGTTCCCAGAGCCTTTTTTGAAAATGTGGCGAAGGGAAAAGTTCCAGGCACCAGCTGGTCTTTTATGTATTCTGATTGGTCAATGACATGTACATTATCATATATTATACAAATTCTACAAGATTTATACATGATTTGTCGAAGGTTAGTATTATTGTTTATTTTAAATTGTGAAAGAAGATTAATTGTGTACACACCTCTTACGGATTATTTAGGGCAAAATGCTGCCTCGTCCCCAGGTGCTAATTAAGGGATTTGCGAATCACTATATGAAAGGTTTACATGAAGTAGTGCGTCACATTATAGGCGTGCAAAGGAGAGTGGGATATGAGCGTTCTGGTTAGCGCCTGGCCGATCTTGTATAATAGCTGTCGAACATACAAGTAAACAACAGATCTAAATATAAATCCCTTCATGTATATCACCAGAAAGAAATAAAGCTATCCTTACCGGAATTATTCAAAATATTGTCGAGTGTTTGCATTGTGAAAATCAAACATACTGCATGTAAATAAGCTCGTAACTGAAATCCTGAGACGAATCTTGCAAATGCAATACAAAATAAAGTTTCATCGCTCCCTTGTTTAAAAAACGTCTTGTAGCTGTATATTTTTAAAATAAATTGCTCATTGTGATAAAAATTCATTGTCATTTTTCCATACCTTGTAAATTTATTATATAAACTGGCTTCTACAGCCCCGTTGAACTCTTCAAGTGCTGACATCTCGGAATCATTTAAAGCGTTAAATGATATCAAATATCATCTGACTGTAATCACATGTTTAATTGAACAATTTGAAATGTTGTTTCCTCAAAAAAAAATGGCGAAAAAAGCCCCAAAACTGTCAAAAAACCACGATTTGCAAGAAACAGACGAATTTTGCAAGAAACGGCACAAGAGCTCCCAGGCGCTCCTCAATTTTCGATGCCTCAAGCCCATAACTCCCTGCGCTTGTTCGTCATGATGCACTACTTCGTGTAAACCTTTCATATAGTGACTCGCATGAATTTTTTTATTAGCGCCTGGGAACGAGGCAGGGCAAAATCTGCCTTCATTTAATGGCTTTGTATAGCGTTTATATTGTTGTGTACAAATAATTTCTTGTATAAGTCTGGGTTTATAAATATGACCTTTGGTTTTTTATATTCTTCATATTTAAATTAGTCGAGTTTAAATTGGCCTAATTTATAGTTACCATTAGAATTGCAACGATATTTTGTTATATATGCAATACTGTTTACAACTTTTGAATAATGATATATGATTTGATTTTGTTTCAGAGACTAAAATTCATTCAGAAATTGTGTAAGTTGTGCAATGATGGGCTTATGTCCATGTGCATGCATGTACTTTGATGGCTTAAGAGATGCTTCAAATGTGTACTAAAAGGCTATTCACGGGAGTTGGGCTTGGCTGGCCAAGCCAACCTGGCCTTGAATGCTACTTCTGAAAAACCTGTGCATGCATTTTTTTTATATTTTATTTAAAGATTGTATTCATATGGCTGGACCAACCAGGTTACAATGCATGCTTGAAAATATGCAACAATTTCACTTTACTGCTAATAATATTCCAGAAAATCCTGCCTCTCAGACATGTCTATACTGATTTGTTAGAAGGGGTGGAGGTTTTCCAGAGGTGGCATTACTACATGGTTCAGGGGGCATTCTCCCCGAAAATTAATAATTTCAATATATTAAGTATTATTCATAACTCATATATGGAATACCAGAGTTTTCTTCAAGGGGATGCTGGACACCACTATAGGCAGTGCGCACAACACCCCTGCACTGCACAGGTACATCCTCCTTGTTTCCTGTCATTGTCAGCTTGCATGCTTCGTTTTGAAGCAAATTATATCTGCGAATTATATCGGAGTCAAACTCATGCGAACAGCTTAGAAGTCCTAATTATATTGATAATTATATACACTTTGGGTTTGTAATGCACAGCAATTTGTAAAATATTTACTATTTTATTTAATAAAAAGTAATTATTATATACATTGTTCTGTTGTTTATATTAACACCTTGTACTTGGACAGTGTACCGAATTCTAAGCCAAAGACATTTAAGAAACAATTATCAAGGATTTTGCATGATAAAATTGTATTTAAAAATAACTCAAATGAAAGCCAAAAGGCCCTGGGAACGAGGTTGTTCATAAATTGCTATAATGTTGACTAAAACTATTGTTAGGAATTAGACGATAATGTTTCAATGAATCGAACGGTAGTATTTTTGTTTCATAGCATTCACATAACCAAAGATATGAATCTGCAAAGTCATATTGCACCGGTGCAATATGTTATTAAATAGGAACTGCTTGAGAACATTTAATGTGCTCAGTGGCGAAAGACGACTTTTCTATGTCAAGACGCCACACGATTCATGGAGCAGAAACTTGAACACTGATACCAAGAACATTTTTCAGTTATTGTGTTTCTTGTTACTTTATGGCCATGTTAAGGCAAAATTTTAGGACAAGAATTTGATGCTCCGAAAGCAGGAAATAGGTTTTTCTGGGGTTTCCCCCGAACCCCCTAGTTATGCGAGAAACAAGAAGGAATATTCTATGGTCAGATTTAAGGCTAGATCCGCCCCTGTTCATTTATTGATCTAATGCATTGCTAAAGATCTTCATGACTATGACTTTATTGAATGACTAATTTCTGAGCTGTAAAATGATACTGTTAGTAAGGTGCAGGAGGTAAATCCTAACATATTTCCGGGTTTGTTGTTCATATCCGCCAATGAGCATCAACAATTGTAATCTGGATTGCAATTAGCTAGTCACAGTTTTGTTTAAAATCTTGCATGTGTAGCTAAATTGAGTTCATTGTAATTTGTTGGCCTTATTTGAATTACAGTTTCAGCATTGTTCGAGAATTGAGGTAAGTTGTATTGTATCAATATACTTAAATAGTAACCTGTTTGTTGTTTTAAGTTAATCAACATTGCTTCAGGGTTCAACCTTTTGGCTTGCACCTTTGTTAGTTCTCACTACTCAGTATTGAGTCACTGAAATACTCCGTGAATAGTGATTACATATTTTTTATAATTTATGTAATATATAGGTATGTAATAACAAGGTGGCAAATTAGCAAACAACGATCCGTCAGGCTATCCAGGACATACCTTCATTATTTTTTTACATAGTCTTTGTCTTGCTAAGGATATACATACATGCACCTAAAAATTTTCTTGCACGTTTCAAAACAAATATTTTACATGTCAATTAAACATACCATTGCATCCATTGCTAGAGCATCGAGAAGTCATGTTGATGTCATCCACAAGTTTGGTTATTTGTGTAGACTTGCACACCGCCAAGAGCCGTTCAACTTCCATACCCTTATTAGATACTAAGGTTGATCCCCCAGACTCATTGTGCGGTTGGTATTCGTCGCTACTGTCACCCGAAGTCTGTGACGATGTTTCTTCGATTTCGTCAAAGCACATATTCATATTCCTACAACGAAGCTGTTCTCTTACAGCACCCTGTGTTCTATACTTCGTTTTTCCAGGTGAATAGTAATCAACAACTTTGCACGTCTCCCTTTGCTGTCTTTCACTTTTCCACAAAGATGGCAGTGTAAATCGTTGACGAGACATCACACCTATGCCCTGTGTTTTTGCGCTTTTCTTTCCTTTCTTGTACATCATTTTTCTTTCTTTCTTTGACAACTTTCTTTTCTTCGGGCAAAAGGATAAGTCCGCCATATTGAATTTTGTCGAACAGAGACCTGGAGCGAGGATGTGCACCCGATCTTCTCCGGAAGTTATCTGGAAATGAATTAGAATTATTGTCTACACCTAGCAACGTAGAGTAAACACAACACCACAGGAGAACAAAGTCGCTTTATGCGCCACTGATTCGTTTTACAAGCGGTACCTTATTCAAAATGGCGGGAGAGGACATGTACGGCTGTAAATTTCCAGTTGACAATTTGCACCTCCAGTGTATATAGTCACAGACAGAAGCACGACAGAAGATACAGTTTGCGTTCTAATTCTTATTCTATTCATTCCTGTTGTACAAAACTTGGCACTGTGATAGCCTTAATCACAACAAACATTTCTGTGTTCACTCTACCTTTTACAATCACTATGTGATGAAATTGAGACTATTTGGTGTCTCAAATATAGAGCATCTAATAAATCTTTACCCAAATTATTTTGATAGTGGAGCAAACACATAAAACACTGTTAGCATGGATAAATAAATAATCAATGTTCGAGTCCTAAAAGAATTACATCAGCAAAGATCAAAGTGCGATTTTATAAAATTTTATACCAAAGATGGGGTGGTAATTAATGACGTCATCATATGTGTGCAGATTTGAAACCTATAAAAAAATGTTCCTTTAGTCATATATAACACCTTCTGCAAATGTCAATCTTGTGACTTTTTTTCCTGATTTTTAGTAAATATTTCAAAACGTTGATTTTTTGCCTGGGCAGATACCTTAAATGGAGTAGCAGGTAGGTATGTCAATTTATGCTGTTATCATCCTTTAGGAAACAGATGGGAACTCAGGAGCTTCAATCTCCCAACCACGTCATTTGAACCTGCACACCTGTATCAAAGTTAAATTGAATGATCCAGTTGACAAGGCCGAAACTTAGGTATTACGGCTGGGGGGTGTGAGCTTGCTTTGCCCAACCAACAGGGAGTGTCCGACAGACATTTCAGTCGCTAAAAAAGTGTTCCAAAAAAATTTTCCAGGCAATAATACAAGTTGTGCAGCCAAGATTTTGTTCTTGATTTCATACATATTCTCAACCTGTTGTGGCCCATCATCGTGCTGATGTTGCAGTATCAGGACAACTGGTGTCCAGGTTGGAAGCTGTGCCATTACACCCCATTGGTGAAAGCGGAGATGAAGAAATTCATTGGCGAGTTGCGTATGCTGCCATCTGTCCCCGATTGCACAAGCAAATCAGTGAAATCAAGTATGCGATATGGCAATAGTGAATTGGTTTTAGGTTGGCCAGTGACCGAAGAAGTTGAAAGCGTAATGTCAGTTGAATGGGAGGCATAAGAACTGGGTGGCTGCTTGCCATATTTGAGGAATCTGGCAGAAGAAATTATTGGCGAGCTTGAACAGCATTTCAAAAAACAGCTATGCGTAACTTAACAAGACCCTCCACAAATGCTTAGATTTTGGAAATCTTTTTACTGTATTGTGTGGAATGAGAGTAGATGGAAAAATACCTGTTGATAACAGGATGTTTTCGCAACATGGAGCAGCAGAGTTTCGGCGATGTGTCACATTTGTATCCCAAATGCCAGATGTTCGAAAGCAAAATATGGAATTGGGAGGTGAGCTTTCTGCAAATTCACATTGTCAGAAGTCCTCCGTGGAATTAAGCAATGGAGAAACAATGGAAGTTCTTCTTCAGGAGGAAACTGTCATCTCAGCATTGTACTGCGATTCCTCATTTTACTCTGTCATTGGCCCAGAGTTTTGCCTTGTTTTTGACATCATGTACACAAAGACACGTACTGAAGCCATTGCAGAATCGTTCTACCATGTACAGAAGCACAAAATGGATGTCACAAGGTACGGTGGCAAGGCCAGAGGTCTCGAACGACGCCATATGCCTGTTTACAAGGACAAGAGATCGTGGAGATCGATCTGTGCAAAGTGGTAAGATGAATTGTAAACACACCCATAAAAGTCCCTTTCCTTCTGTAATTTTCCTTTCCTATCTTGTTGTGTTGTCTCATCTGCTGGACTGCTGCTCTTCCTCCCAATTTTTGAACTTAAAAATGATATAATTTGAACTACACATTAATGGATTGTGCTGTCTCATTTGCTGGACTGCTGCTTTTCCTGCCAATTAATGATGGATTCAATACTTTTTATGGATGACAGTACAATGTTCCAGGTCATAGATTTTCACACACATATCTCTGGTACAAATATAGGTTATACCCAAAGAAAAGATCAACACAGTGAAAGTATATGCTGAAAATGAAAGAATGCAACTAAGTTTGAAAAAGTGTAAAGAAATTGATAATAGATTTTCATAGACAAAAACCGGTTATTCCCTATTTAAAGGTCACAGAAATTACTCTTGAAAGAGTCACATGCTTTTAGCTACTTGGCTTATGGATTGATGATAACTTGAAATGAACACAAATACAGAACATATTGTTAATAAAGCTGCTAAACGATTATATTTGTTAAAAGTTCTTAAAAGCTATGGGGCAAGGAAAAGGACTTGAAGGCGTTTTATACATCTGTAGTTAAATCAGTACTTGAATATGGAGCACAAGTTGGCATGGTGGTTTAACAGGTGAACAATGTCAGGATATTGAGAGGATCCAATGGAGAGCGCTTAGAATAATCTATCCCAAAATGACTTAAGATGAAGAATTATTTTGGTGTGGTATTAAAAGAGAGAATCATAGAGAAATTACATGTACAAATCTGATTAAGGACATGATAGAACCTATACATAAATTACATGACTTGTTACCTTTTACGGTCAACTGAATAAGGGAAGAGAGACAAGGTTAAGAGAGGATGTCCACAAAAATCAAACATAAAGCGGCCAAGACTGAAAAATCGATTTTGCTCAAATTTTGCCCAGATATACCTTATTATATCGGAAAATGCACCATATATTTTTTTAGGTCAAATGTTTTTTTAACTTTGAGAAAATGCCGTTTTAACATGACCACCCTAAATCGCCATTTTTTCTGGGAAAATATGCGCTGATTTTACAGATAAATTTCACGACGACAACCGTTTCTAATCGATCTAAAACCCTAAAAATCTTGTTTTCGGTTATTCAAAGGACTGTGTACATGAGTTACAGGAAATCTGAGTTACTTTTAGGAATAGAAATAATCGTAGTTTTGGAGCACACTATCTTACTTCATTTGCGATACCCTCTTAACAAAATCGATTTTCACCATGCGATAAAGCTCCAAATCGATCATGCTTCTACTAGTTGGCTCTTTAATAAAGAAGCTTTCAATTGACGTAAATACTTCTTTTGGCAAATGAATACGCGATAAACGACAGCGCGTTGAAATCTTCCGTTTTTGACGTCTTGCAAGTCAAACGCTGTTAATTTATACACCGTCGAAGTAAACAATTTAATCAAGTATTCTAAGTATTTTACCTTTTGAGAAAAAACATATTCTTGAATGGGAACTTTTCACTTTGCTAAGTTTAAAAGTGGTCCAGAAATCCCAGTATATTTGTAAAAAAATCATCAAACATCCAGTATTTTGAGACATTGTTCACGGTTGCATGATAACTTCAGATCATTATTCAACGTGATCTACGACCCGCCCGTTTGACTTTTAATAGCGCTAACATATACAAATCGATGAGCTATTTAAGGATTATATTTGCTACTAAATTCCCCAAAAGAATTGGAACTACAACTGCTGTTTTCAGAGGTTTTGATCCATTTTGTCCATATTAATGTACCATTTTATTTATCGACTGATGTTTACAAATACGTAAGTTAATTATTAAGCAGCTGTTAGCGTGCGTGCACATGTGAGATGAACGTTTATAATGTTTATCCATATAAGGAGTTTTTATTCTTAGTTTACCACAATTACCAGCCCTTATATTTGAATAGTCGTTTTCTTTCAAGTTGTTTTCTTTTTTTACTCTGCAAAGTTGATTCCGAAATGTTAAGGTATTCGAAAAAACTATCGAACTTTTCCATGATATTTACAGAGAAACGTCACAGCTGTAAACCCCCTCCCCCACCCCCAAAACGAACATATGACGTTTCTTGTGGAAAAAATCGATATGTGAGGCTTCCCTAAAACTGCAAGGTTTACACTATTGAATTAAAATCCCACAGACCACAACGATTATATACGTATTGATTGTTTCTTGACGATAGTAGACGCGTACGTGCATGTTGCGGAAGAGGTTATTTCGCTGGCCTCAGAGTGACAAAAGGTACTCTGGTTCTAGAGGTTTAAAATAATAAACCTCTGTTTGAAAGCGGCAATTAATTCATCGAGCCGCGCCAATCAGCTTGAATTAGGGTAGATAGTTATGATAAGACAAGGGCGGCGCCAGGGCCGCCCATGCAGGGAGGCGGCAAAGGGAGCAATTTTCTCCGCGACCCCAGCTCAAGGAAGACAGGCAAATACAAATTTGCAAGGCGATAAAAAGTTTGTCGACGGAGGGGGGTAATTGTGGTTCACCGGGGCCCCAAGGGTATAATTGGCCCTGGGGCCCCATATTTCACTGAGCTGGTTTGGGCTGCGCCAGTATTTCTCCGACGGGGGGAGTCATCAGTGCTCTCTTTTGATCTTTGTCAATTGGCATTAAAACCGCAAGAACTACCGACAAGTGACCAGGGCCGGATTAACGTCGCGCGAGGCCCGTGGCAAAGTTTAGCGCGAGGCCCCCAAACCTCCCCCTTTCTTCTTTTTATGAAAACCATTGAATTTAAAGACACACAAAAGTGTTAAACAATTTTTTTCAATATTTCAATTTATTTGCATCAATTATAAACGAGATAATGGCCTGCCTGGCGCAGTTGGTGGGTATAAACAGGATCATAATATAACAGCTCAATGCAACTAAAGATTATATGAACACGAGTATTGCATATTTTCCCGGGCCCTAAATGCTCGAGGTCACTAAATTCGCGAGGCACCTGAAATGGGTGTTCCCAATAGAAAATGGCCGTGTTCTCGTAAAAATGGGCGTAGCACAGTAAAGCGCGAGGACCACGGCATTTGCCGTATTTGGCACGTGGTTAATCCGGCGTTAAACGAGCAACAAGCTTTCATTTTCTTTAAACGCGACGTATGGGGAGACAATAATAATTTGTGATGTCGCACTGGGCCAAAATACTCAATGCTGTATTTTTGGGTACTAGTACTTGTGAAATATAATAAGATCAATAGACATTAGTGTATCAAAATAAAGTAATTTTACTGATTATTTTAACTGTGCATCAAAGTAACACACATTATTCTAAACTACAGTATTTGCTATATGCCTATAATTTGAGTTTGAGGTGGTAGAATATATAATAAAATAACAAATCCTTGTATGGATAAATGTTCATTTCACACGCACGCTATTAACAGCTGCTTAATAATTAACTTATGTATTCGTAAACATTTATACTCGATAGCCGATATGTAAATACTAAATGATACATTATATGGATCAATGCAAACTGGAACAAAACAACAATTGTCAATTGAAGTTCTAATTTTGGGAAATTTAGTAACAAATATAAAATCACTAAACAGCTCATCGATTTGTATGTTTGCGCTATTAAAAGTATAGACAATATTGATCAATGATCTGAAGTTGTCACGCAACTGACAACAATATTATATTTCAAAATACCTGTATATGATGATATTTTACAAATATCTCGGGATTTTTGGACCAATTTCAAACTAAGCAAGGTAAAAAGTCTCCATTCAAGAATATATCTTCTTCTCAAAAGGTAAAATACTTAAAATACTTGATTAAATTGTTTACTTTGACGGTATGTAAATTAACAGCGTTTGACTTGCAAGACGTCAAAAACGGACGATTTCAACGCGCTGTCGTTTATCGCGTATTCATTTGCCAAAAGAAGTATTTACGTCAATTGAAAGCTTGCTTATTAAAGAGCCAACTAGTAGAAGCATGATCGATTTGGAGCTTTATCGCATGGTGAAAATCGATTTTGTTAAGAGGGTATCGTAAATGAAGTAAGATAGTGTGCTCCAAAACTACACTTATTTCTATTCCTAAAAGTAACTCAGATTTCCTGTAAATCATGTACACAGTCCTTTGAATAACCGAAAACAAGATTTTTAGGGTTTTAGATCGATTAGAAACGGTTGTCGTCGTGAAATTTATCTGTAAAATCATCGCATATTTTCCCAGAAAAAATGGCGATTTAGGGTGGTCGTGTTAAAACGGCATTTTCTCAAAGTTAATAAAGCATTTGACCTAAAAAAATATATGGTGCATTTTCCGATATAATAAGGTATATCTGGGCAAAATTTGAGCAAAATCGATTTTTCAGTCGTGGCCGCGAAATGTCTCATATGTTCGATTTTTACTGACATTCACTCTTAAATGGTGATATGATATACAATTTTAAATGTAGGACGGAAAGGTTTAAAACAAATCCAATTGTTTTTGCCATAGATAAATATAATTTGTGAATGGACTAGCTGATCGTATATACTTTTATGCCCTTTTAATGGCACAGTTCTTAGTTGTAGAATACTTTTTACCATAGCATTAGATTGTTATAAATATAAAATAGTTACCTATAGTTGTATTATAAATTTACAATTTGTATTCTAATAGCATAGAATTGTTAATTCACATTGTAATTTAGCTTTCAGCTACTGATTGTGAAACATTTCAATAATAATAATAACATTAATGGATTGTATTGTCTCATCTGCTGGACTGCTGCCCTTCCGCCCAATTTTTGAACTTAGCAATGATATAAGTGAACTACACATCAATGGATCGTGCTGTTTCATCTGAAATTACTTGTGAGCGCCAATATAGCTTCCATAGCAAATATTTTGCTGCTTAGTTTTTTTTTATATATTCTGCTATATTTATTCAAAATACGTTTTGATATATTCTGCTATATTTATTCGAAATAACTTTGTAGTTGAGGGATCCGTTTGGAAGGATTCATATAGATTTTGTTCGGATGGGGCTGCTTTTGGGAGTTATGTGGGTTTTATTGACATGTATCACTATATTTATTCCATTCACTGCAGTTAGGAAAGTTATATGGGTTTATTGCCTGACATTGCGAACTGTGTTTAAATGAATCTGCCCGAGAATCCTTCAAAAAATTAATGAAAACCGTGTATGAAATGGCTTAACCTGAGTATCAGGCCGTACTTTTTAGGGCACAGGCACGCCTGATCGTGGGCGAAGGGGAGAAAAGTACGGCCTGACACAAAAGTGGCATTTTGTCTGGTTGTTCAGTCCAAAATCTGGACTGAGCGCTGATTGGCCGATTAGACAAACGATTTTTAAATCTGTCATTTGATTGGCTGCTGCTAATTAGATTATACTATTGTTGTTGATATATTCTATAACGATCACAACTACAATTATAGCCGGCCCACTAAACGGCTGAATTTAAATTAAAACTGCAGTAAAGTTAGAAAATAATCGCAAATTAGCGAAATATATTGCAAATGTAGCTTATATTAAATCGCCATCAGATTGCACTATCGACTGACGTATAGTTATAAAGTATACTTAATATATATATATATATATATATACTTTATAATTATACGTCACTGTTTGTTGATAAATACGGCAAGCGCCATGTAAAGCTCATTGTAGTCACTGAAACCTCTGCGGAGGAGAGAGCAATCGGGTGGCGATTTAATATAAGCTACATTTGCAATATATTTCGCTAATTTGTGATTATTTTTGTTAATTTTTATAAGTTCATTGCAGTTTTAATTTAAATTCAGCCGTTTAGTGGGCGCCTATGCTATAATTAGATTGTTGTTGTCGTTGTGTGAAATTTAAATTTCTCCTGCGACATTTTGATTGGATACTAAATATAAACTTTGCTGTGGGCGGAAAGCGATCAGGTTAAGATTTGTGTCAGGCTCTATTTGTAAAATAGAGCCTGATACTCAGGTTAGAAATGGCTTTAACACTGTCGATGCCACACAAACACTTCAAGGTTCTCGTCAAATGTCAGCGTGCAAACAGAGTCAGATTAGTGATGGGTAAAGATGGAGGAAATGCAGCTCGAGGAATTTATTCACTGCATTGCAAATGCAATAAAAGAAAAGTGTGCAGCTGTCATCACAAGCGGTCATTTTATGTCAATTTTATTTGACGGCTCACAGGTCAGGAAGACGAACAATGAAAAGGAACTAATTCTTGTTTGAACTGAATGGAATGGCATACCAGTTTATTTTGTAGTTTCGTTTCGTTACTTGAGATGGCGGCAAATCTTGGTGCATCAAATGCGGATTCTATCAAAGTTCCTTTCGACAGCGTCTGTGCAAGCGGGTGTGAAGACGACAAGAATAGCGTCAAAGGCCCTATTTCTCTTGTCAACTACAACACGAAGGTTGTCAGCACAAGAGCAGATGGTGCCAGTGTCAACTTTGGGGTTTACTCGGGTATACTAACACAAATGAAAAATGAGAGAGTGTCTCATTACAATTCACCGTGCAAACCACAGTCTAGAGCTTGCTTTGAAAGCTGTTGTGCAAGGTTTCAATTGCTTTTGCAAAGTAGATTACTTTTATCAGAGCATTTGGTCTTGCTAAGAAACTCTGGTAAATTGAAAGCTGAAATAAAAAAAGCATGCAAAGCATTGAATGTCACTTTATTATTCGTTGTCGAAAATCCATGGAGCACAATTTTTGAACCACCGTAGGCGAAGCTGCAAAAACACTCCTTCATGACTGGCCTGCGCTTATTACAGCATTCAATAATACCTTGGCTACAATTGCAGGATGTCGCCCAGAAACACGAGCCAAGCTGAAAGGGTTTGTGAAAAAGCTTAAGAACTACCCTTTTCTTTCCCAGGTTGTTGGATACTTGGACATCCTCAACATGTTAGGCCTTCATTGTTTGGTTTTCGAAGAGAGCAAGTTAGTGGCCTTTGAGATTCCGTGTTCTGTGGCGCAAACGCTTGACACACTAGAGAAAATCTCTGAAGAGGGAGTGCACAATCTGTCATTGTCAAGCCATTTTGCAAAATTTCACGTAGAACAAAATGATGAAGGTGAAACTAATGAGCACATTGATGGCATAAGAGTAACATATCCAAATGCTGGACATGAAAAACGTAAAGTAGATAACCACGAGTATCTGGAAGTTAACTTAGACGAAATGGAAAGTGTTGGTATTGACACGGTTCAAAGAACCCTGTCCCGAAGGAAATACCATTTAGTACGAATAACCAACTACGACCAATCTCATTGACTTGCATCATTATGCAACTTTTCAAGAGAGTTTATCAGCGAGAGACGTCAAATATATGTAATGAATCAATAGATTCTGATCAGTTTGCCTATCATAAAGGCCACAACACCACCATGGCACTTATAAAAAAATCAACACAAGTGGTTAGACAGTACGATTTTGTAAACGTGTTCTCATTTGATTTCACCAAGGCATTTGATTCAGTCCCACATGACATACTCATTGCCAAGATTGCTAGGCTCAACATCAACCCTTATATTTTTAATTGGCTTACAGGTTTCCTGTAAAGCTGCCAGCAAAGAGTCACAGTTGATGGTACTACAACTGGTTTTAAAAACATCAACCACAGAGTGCCGCAGGCAACTGTATTTGGGCCGGTGCTTATCTCTATAATGGTCAATGATCCTGTTAACAATCTTTTGATCCTGTTAACAATCTTTTGATTAAGTTTGCAGATGATATCACCTTAAGTTCTCCTATTGATATGACACACAGCTCCATAGTACTGCGTGAAATTGATGGTCTCAAAAATTGGGCAGATAACAACATGATGAAGCTTAATATAAAAAAACATGGGAGTTAGTTATTAAAGGAAATACTCGGAAAGACACTCTCCTCCAGTGCAAGGTATCATACATGTCAAAAGTCTTAAGCTTCTTGGACTCATCTTCGAAGACAATTCTACTATAAACTGGGACACACACATTGACAATGTTATGTTTAAGGCAAGTTCCCATCTTTTTATCCTTCAAACATGTAAATATTATCGATATTCAGTAGATCAACTAGACTTATTATTCCAAAGCCTGATAGTATCAGTCTTTATTTATGCTATTGAAGTGTGGGGATATGTGCCCATTATGATAAGTATTTAGGACAAATCAATAGGTTTTTTACCAGAGCTTTCAAATGGCAATTTTGTAAAAAGCTATATTGTATTAATGATCTCATCTCTGCTCTTCCTCCCAATTTTTTAACTTAAGAATGATATAACTGAACTACACATAAATCAATCGCATTGTCTCATCTGCTGGACTGCTGCTCTTACTCCCAATTTTTTAACTTTTGCGGTTTTGTATATCAAGTGTTGGAACAATAAATTAACTATGCAAGGAAATCGAGCTGACACGCTTGAGCTGGGAATTATTTCTTCTGATGGCTATATTGGCATTTTTCATCAATGTGCGAGTGAGCTGCCCCTTGAACACATTTGTCTTCCGAACTTTTGTATGAAGAAAAGACGAGTTTTTAAAGGCACTTTTCTCAAAAACCGAATGTGTGCTACATACAGCTATGTACATGTACACTCTCCTCTGCAGAGCCTTACAAATTTTAGTAAGTGTGTGGTATTGTGCAACCTAGGTAGACACTGTAGAAATGGCTTGTGTGTTAAAAGATTATGACACACTTGTCACATTTTATCATGCAGGTTTAGATAGGCATGAGCATTTACAAAATGCCACTTTGTGGTTATCTGGGAGTGTACCAGTGATTTGTTGCACAAATGCATTTGGAATGGGTATTGATAAAAAGGATGTTTGTTTCATCATTCATCTTACACAATCAGCATTATTAGAAGATTATGTGCAAGCATCTGATCAGGGTGGTAGAGATGGAGAAACTTGTCACTGCACGCTTTTGTTCTGATTTAGAGACAGACTTTTCCATTCTCGAAATATAGCTCGGATTGAGTCACAGGCTATCAGTGAAAACAAGTTAAAATGGCTAAATCAAATTACACAGTATTGTATGGAGAATTCAGTGTGCAGATTACAAAGCATAGATATATATTTTGGAGAGGATGAAGGAGAATGTTGTTGTGTCTGTATATCTGTCAGAAGGGAAGTACACTGGATGCAAAGGGACTGCACATATGAAGCAAACAACTTGCTAAACTGTGTTGCAAGTTTGATTGCCATTCAACCAAGAGTTAAGTTGTCTGAATTAAGCCATGACATACATGGGTTCAAAAGCCAAAGAAATAACAAGCAAGGGATTTCATGTTGTTCCTTTGTATGGCAAACGTAAAAACACTTTCAAAAACATGACTGTTACAAAGTTTGTGCAACATTTAATATTTCAAGGAATAATTATTGAAAACCTCCCACATGTCGAAATAGGATGTCTGCAACAACGCACCTTACACCTGGCATTATAACAGATATTGAAGTTACATACAGAATGTAAAATCTCAGTGTTACTGTATTAACTATAGGTACATCATTATACAGTATACCCCCAAATAAAAACCACAAGCACAGTTTTAAATGCATTGATACAAGTGAACACAATGGCGGATTAAAAATAACATTTTCATATACCAGTAAAAATAGCGATGAACTTGATTAAACTGTTTATTGCACTATTGCCAATAGCATGCGTACAGACGTTACTCTCAACGAAAACGTGAGAGAGAACATAGTGATTCAGATGGGAATTCCTTGTTCAGGTCACATGGATTTTCCACAGATTTGTGGAAAGGTATCTGATTGGACAGTGCTTTATTTGAATAATTTGTGACAAATGTAGATATTTCATTGGTTTCAGTCAATATAAATTACATAAATCACAGAATATATTAATACCTCTATGCTGGAAATCCATGTGATCTGAACAAGGGATTTTCTAACAGAGTGAGACCACACCCTTCACAATCGTTCACATTAAGTCCGATATAAGTAAATAATTTACCAAGGTTTTATTGTTTCCAAACACTCCAACATTCTTTTCATTAGGAAGGTTAAAGTGCCTATGTGACAATTTTTTGATGATTGAATTGCAAAGTTCATTTAAAATCATAATATAACTTGTTTTCTAAAACTTTGTATTCTTTCCTGTGTGTCAAGATTTTCGACTTTGTTTGATATGCAAATGTGACTTGAATGACATCACACTGCATGAGTTTTTAGAAAGTAAACGTTTCCTTGCCAAACATGTGATAATTCCACTGACATTGAAAATGATATACTTTAAGAGCTATCAAAGCGATCATTTCGTCTGTAAATTCGAGAGAATGAGAATTTTAACAAGCTACAACACAGTCTTCTGTAAAATGCATTATGCAGCATGACGTCATTTAAGTCACATTTGTATATCAAACAAAGTCGAAAATCTTGACATACAGGAAAGATTACAAAGTTTTAGAAAACAAGTTATATGATTTTAAATGTACTTTGAAATTCAATCATAAAAAAAATGTTGCATAGGCACTTTAAAAGTTTTTGCTAAATTGTCCAATATAGACATAGTACGAAAATTCGTGCTGTTATCTTCTAATGATAACAGTAAAATATGTAGGTGGGGTGATATCTTTCAAAACATGCTCTTCTGAAGGAACATCAATGTCACATTTTGGCTTGGGCAAATCTTTGAATCTGCTGTTAGGAACGAGTTGAGTTCTTTTTCAGACATGTTTTTAACTGCGACAGAGTAAATGGTACCTTGTTTAAAGTGTCATGTAGAAGACTTATCAGGTATCTGTCCACAGCTGCTTCAAAAACTTCCAATTTTTCTTCATCTGCTTTGATCTCTGTGACTTCACCCTGTAGAACTAGACTAGATTTTAACATCTGACAACAGTTCTTCAATGCCATCCAATTGTGGTATAAGTACTGCTTGTCCTGTAAAGTTACACATTGTAGAACCTCTTGGCCTGATAACATGTAAACGCTTCTTTTTCGCTCTATATATATATTTATTTTCTCTATTAATAACAGAATAGGAATATCAGGGGACAAAAAATAACTTTGCACTAAATTTGCAATGGTTGCAAATTTAGTAGTTCAAATTCACAAGCAGTGCAAATTCATCTTTGCACCCAAATAAATTCACTTCACATTTTGCCCACTTGCATATTTATTACGATATTTGCAACACACTTGCACATACGTGCCATTTAAACTAAAGCAAATTCTGCATGTTCATTTTAGAATTTAAATTAAAATATTTTGACTGCAAGTTTATATTCTTCATACATGTGTAAATTAAAATGCAAGAGCTACTTGCCGACAACTGCATGATTTTGAGGACTAATCTTTGATCTTTTGTAACATGCATCTACAAAGTTATTATGAAAGTTGGTCCTTCAATATATTGAACTTAGCTGAGGGGAAACAATAATTTTTGTTTTGAAATCTTAGAATATTGTCCAATCGTCATTGTGCATTGGGATTGAATTGATACAGGCGTGATTTGGGTGTTCACCCATTTGTGCCATGAAACTTTATGTACGATGCAAGGAAGCGAAGCCACTGTGCATAAAGCCAGCTAGAATACATGTCACTGTCATATAGAAAGCATGCATGTAATGCAAACCCTCTATTCCCAACTGCTTTGGGGTGTCAATTAGTTATTCTGGAACAAATTTGCAATAAATTAGTGTATGCATTTGCACACTGAATTATTAGTGGCATATTTACATCACCTTTGCATAACGGGGAAATTTATTGCAAATATTAGATGTCAGTAATACATTAATACACACAACTTTTTCAATGATGTTATTTTCTCGAAACAGTGCATAATAATACCTGAAATTTGTGTGACAGTATAGATTGAGTTTAATACTAGTTAGAGTTGGATACAGGCATGCCAGTGCTGAAGACGTGTTTGTGACATTAAATTGCATTATCTTGTACTCTTGTTCGAATAAGCTAGCTAATTGTACGTACACATGCACATTCCTGGTTTGAAAGTTAGATAAAACTGTCCAACAGTGACAAACAAGTGGGGTATATTATTACTTGTTGTGTTTCACATGTGCACAGTATAGAGTTAGTCTGTATGTCCACGTAATAAAGATAATGTCTTGCCTTTATATATATGCATCTATGAAGGTCGATTATTTGAACATTGAACAAATTTGCAATAAATTGGTGTATGCATTCGCACACTGAATTATTAGTTGCAGATTTACATCACCTTTGCATAACAGGGAAATTTATTGCAAATATTAGATGTCAGTTAATACATTAATACACACAACTTTTTCAATGATGTTATTTTCTCGAAACAGTGCATAATAATACCTGAAATTTGTGTGACAGTATAGTATGTGATATTTGTGTCAAAGTTAGATAAAACTGTCCAACAGTGACAAATAAGTGGGGTATATTATTACTTGTTGTGTTTCATGTGTGCACAGTATAGAGTTAGTCTGTATGTCCACGTAATAAAGGCAACCTCTTGCCTTTAGATATATGCATCTATGAAGGTCGATTATTTGAACATTGTTATCACATTTTTGGGAATAAACTAGCAAGAGATTTAAGGCTCTGGCACCTTATTATGCCTTTTTGATGTTTGTTTCCGGATCACAGTTATGAAATTTCTTGCCTTGTAAGGAGTTGATGCCCTGGCTGTTCATGTCCATGCATTGAGAGACAACATACAGTTAAAATTCCACCAGAGAATAGTTAGCTTTCCACCAGAGAATAGTTAGCTTTCCACCAGAGTTGTGTATGAATGTGTTTTACTAATTGAGTGCATGGTTCTTGCCCTCAGTGGAAACCAAAATTATACTTCTTAGTCGATCTAGACTTGATAATAAGTAGGAGACTTGTACCATTTATAATATGATACAAAATGAATCGGGTACAATAAGGGAATTACAATTTAGTTTATATTTGACACCGAAATGGCAATAAATTGGCTTGTGCAAAAGTGTTGGCATATTGGAATTTATGGCTTTTTCCTATGATTTTCCAATGCTTTTGGCATAACCATAATTTGTCATCAAAATGCTGATGCCATGGTCCTAGCCAGTGCATGTTTGAGAAGCATTCACCCCCTGATAATAAATGGCGGATGTCCAGGGGGGAATGCCCACTGAGCTATACTATATTACTGGAGGACCTGCTCAGCATCAACAAGTGAAACCGAAAACATGGTGGATCTTACGCCATTCCGTGACAACACTTCCAAAATTTTCATGGTAACTGCCACTGACCAACCGCGATCCTAAGCTTCCAACGATGTCCTTAACCCCCCTGGTTTTTCCACAGATATACTGCTCAAATTATTTTTTCCCGCCGTTTGGCTTTTGGTTGTTATCGTAATCAAACGCTTAAACAGCTCACAAAAATGCCTCATTTTTGCCCTTTTTATGGCTGCCATAACAGTGACAATTATACCTTTTCAAGGAAAAATATTTCGTCTCACAGGTCAGAATTATTTGTGAAAGTTTTCTGTTGTGTGCTTTGCTTTTGTATAAATACAGTTCTTTGTGAAAAAAAAAACAACGTATGGGACAAGGTACAAGCAGGGCGTAAAAGACACAAATTTACCACTGAATTTCACTATTTAATACTTAAAATAGATGTAAATATTAAACTAATAGGCTAGTCTGTTTATTTTTCATTAGGCTAGTCTGTTTATTTTTCAAACTAACGTTATTTTCAGTTTGTGTAGTATTTTACTTTGTACACTTTTTACCCTGCAAGAATTTTTTTTAAAAACAAAAATGGCATTTTAATATTAAAATACTTTTTATATACATGATATAATGATGGTTTATAAGACATTCTAGCAATATGGCTATTAGATATGGCCTTAAATATTCTTATTTTCATATTTTAATTTCTCTTTCAATGACACATTTTTGAGCAATTGGTTGAGCTTCTATGAGCAATTTTAATTTTATATTGAATGCATTTTAATTTTGCAGCTTCCCAGATACAAAAACAAGTCCGGAGATGTACACCAAATGGCTAGAAAATGTCAATAAAAATGCACTGGTTAAATTTGTTCCGACAGGGGGAAGTCGTCTTTGTTCAGAACATTTTAGCTCTGACATGAAAGAAGAGGGTGGACAAAGAGTAATATTGCCCAACAATATTTTCCAGTTCTCAGGTTTGTTATTTGACAGTTTTCTCTATCATTTTGCTCATGTCTTGTAAAGTTTATTTATGTTTGTGCCCAGAACATTTCTTTGTTATACTTAAATTGGGTTATTAAGTTCCTATCAAGGTCCTAAGGACACAACAATATGAGGAAATGAAAGGATTTATTTGAGGAATTTCAAGCACAAACACCAAGGCTGAAGGATAAAATACTTTACTTCTGAGAAATTTCAGTCTAATTTTCCAGTTTTGCTCTGAAATATTACAGGCAATCTGGCATAACTGTACCCCTGAAGAATTTCAGCTATCTGAATATCTGATTGACAGGGGGTTTGTGTTAGTTACTAAAACTGTCTGTACCAGTGCTGGTAGTACCAATGTGAAAATGCTGTGCTGAGTGGTTATACTACTACGTTAAAAAAAAAGTAAATACTAACTCTTGACGAAGGGCCTTCGCTCAAAACGTCGAGGTTTTTGCTTATTTTTTTAAGGTAGTAGTAATATAACCACTCAAGCACAGGTTTGTGTTAGTCTCGAACAGTAACAAAATAGGCCAATACTGGCTTTAAAAGGTGCATTCAACCAGACTAACCAACCTAGTTGCCTAAAAGTTGAGTTAACACATTTAAGCAAGTGCTATATTATATTCTCAATAAACATGTTTTTTTCGCTGTTGTTTTGGTATTAATTCTTTAAGAAACTTGTATTTAAAACTAATTTCTATGTAACAAATGTATTTTGCTAACCTGTCAAATTGTTTTGAGAGTTTTTCCTTGTACTATTATCTTTCTCAAAGCGAATATTTTCCTTTATTCTGCTTCGCAAAACTCGCGTAATTTTTGGACCGCCATCTTGTTTTTCGCTACTCGCCGTATATGAGCTGATATACGGCGAGTAATTCAACCAATCAGATTGCAGAACAGCTCATATACGGTGAGTGACTATATTATAATAATTAATATATTTACAGTAAAATCAGAAAAACAATTATCTTAGAGTGTATTATTTACAAAAGGAAGGAAAGAACTATAAAGCAAAAAAATTACAGTACAAATATACGTCATATATAAAGGCATATTGACACTAGTATTTATCACTATATAATATGTAAGTAGAATGCATAATTTTGAATTTCTTTGGTGTTAGAGTAAAAGTAATAGAGTAGGGTGTATTAGGATGTGATGGGTCATTCTAGGAAACATGTCATCCATATACCTCCCCAAGGAGGAAATTTAATGCCCCTCCCAAGCATAACCTAACCATTCGGATTGTCCTAATACATCTACTATTTTCAAAAACAAAATGGTCTCCAGCCAGATGGCAAGAACGTTCTCCCAGGGGGCGGGTAGATCTTTTCTGGACTGATGCAATGCAACTTAATGAGTTTCGAGACAAAATCTTGGCAGATAGTGATTAATAGTTAACAACCAAATTCAAAACTAAAATGGAATGTTTAGCACAAAAAGTATAGAGTATTTTATGAAAGAAGAACAGGGAGAAAAGAGAGGAACATATTATACATTGAAATACAATAACACACCCAGTGGCAGACACTGGGGGCAGGAGGGGATTCCACCCCAACCAATAATTTGTGGAAATTAACCTTTGAATGATAGCTGGATTTATTCTGAATGATAGCTGCATGAACTTATTAATTTGTAACGAAACTTTTAGAAACTAGCATAAAATTTACATGCCACAAAAGGTGTCTGATGTTATTGCCAACTTGATAATTCTTCCCCCCCCCCTCCCGAATATTTTTGCATTCTTGCAAAGTGCATGCCACTGGCAAATACCTACAGTCCAGTTGTATAATCCTGTTATATAATCATGATCAAAATGTTTGTCAATTATTAAGTCAGCCAAAACGTTTTTCTCATTTTTGTTCGGTAAAAAAGTAATGTAATTCATGTTTTCTAAAACTCTTTATGACAAGTCAGAGCAGCATATTTATGTGCTCCATGGCCATCACTAGGAAGGGGGGAAGAAAAGGGCAATACAACAACCTTCCCCCTCCCAATTTCATGTCTAACTAAAGATGCATGAATATAACTGTGTCAAAAAACTGTTACAACAATTTTACAACCATAAAAGCATTACTGGATTGCCAGAGATTCTTCCATGCTCATGGGAGGATAATGAGGGATACAACTTGCATCCTCGGGTATCCCTCATCCCCTACGAGCATGGAAGAACCTCTGGTAGTACCCAGGGTTTGAAAGCATTGGTAGCCCCAATATCGTTCCCCGAGCTTGCGATCCTCGGCAAGGAATGCAAGGCTCTGGGATAATCTGTTGCTGGAAACCAGGAATCCTGGCTAAGATTGAACTGTGCATTCCATTCCAACAGCCAATCAGATTCCTCCATGAAACGGATTATCCCAGAGCCTCACGGGCTCAGGGAACAAGATTGTGGTAGGCCAGAAATTTGGCACATTTGCATGAAATTTAGGGGGGGGGGTTAAAAAAATGCCAATTACATCAACAGATTTGGCATTATGCAAATTGACCATTTTCGTCACATCCATGATTGATCGACATATTGAATAACATCAGTTGTTTGTTGTCATAATCGGCAAGAAATATTATTATGAGTTGAAATGTACAAAATTTGCCTTTATATTGACATTTGGATTTGATTCAGTCTATATGGTATCTGCCATTGTCCCTAATGTTAGTCAACTGTTTACCAATCCAATACATCTCATCTGCAATGCACCCAAATGTGGCTGCAGACTTCATAATTTTACTATAACACCAATTTTACACCATACAATTTTAATCGTCAAAATAATAAAGTTGAGCGTGTTGCAGCTAAGACTTTTCCAAAAATAAAGTAAATATGTGTTGCTTATTCTCCCTTAGGTAGTGAAGAATGAAGAGGCCAGTACTAAGAAAGCCTCAAGTCAGGATGTTGTAGAAGTAGAAAAATGTAATGGTATGTCCGACAAAAAATAGTTCAGTAGAAACAGTATTGATAAATGAAGATAGTGTAAGTGATGAAGCATTAAGTTTACAGGTGGTTAATGAAGAAGATCATCACCATGGTACTGAGGTAAGTGCGTCTCAAAAAAGGCACGAACAACCAGTGCTTCTGAAATGAATGTGCACGATCACCCATATTGTTTACAGTCACCTTGTAGAATGAGAAGGCAAGTTGATGATCTTACAGATAAAGTTGAAAATCTACAGAAGAAATTGAGAATAGACCAGCAGAAAACAAGGAGGAGGAATAAGAAGGTTAGCACGTTGACTGCAGTGGTAAGTGAATTGAGAGAAAAAAATCTAATCAATAGTGATTGTGCGACTATTCTAGAATCAACTTTTTCTGGAGTTCCAAAGGAACGAATGGAGAGGTTGGTGACACAAAAGAAAAAGAAAAATCTCGGGGTGTATCCACCTGAGCTAAGGTCATTTGCCCTGACCTTGAAATTTTATTCAACTAAAGCGTATAACTATGTGCAAAATAAAGTTTTGATTTAGGGCTGCCACATGTAAACGTGATTCGGCCATGGTATAGTTCCACGAATGGCGACCCAGGTTTTACAAAGGATGCACTGACAGCATTGAAAGCCAAAGTTATAGCTGCAAAAAGAGATAACCACGAAGTTGTTTGTGCACTAATGCTCGATGAAATGGCCATACGCAAGCATGTTGAATGGGACGGCAAGCAGTTTCGCAGTTATGTTGATCTTGGCACAGGCATCAATGATGACTCTCTGGCCGAAGCAACAGATGCTCTTGTTTTTATGGCAGGCTCGGTGAACTCCGATTGGAAAGTACCATGCGGATATTTTCTAGTAAGGGTCTTACTGGAGAGGAGAAAGCCAACTTAACCAAAGAATGCATAACCAAGTTGCATGAAGTAGGGGTGAAGGGTGTCTTTTACATGCGATGGCCCCATGTCTCACCAGGCGATGTTGAAATTGCTCGTTGCTCAACTGTTACCTGGCAACAAGCGTACTTCCAACATACATGTGACTCGACAGCCATGATTTATATTTTCCTAGATGCTTGTCACATGATAAATTTGGTAAGAAACACCATGTCGGACTGGAAGGTCCTAAAGGATAAGGATGGCAACGCCATCAAGTGGCAATTCCTTGAGGAATTGCATAAATTACAAGAGTCAGAGGGCTTACATCTTGCCAATAAGGTCCGGTCCACTCATATCAAATGGAAGCCACAGAAAATGAAGGTAAACCTAGCAGCACAGGCACTCAGTTCGAGTGTTGCAGATGCCTTGGAGTACTGTGAAGCTGAAATTGCCACAATTTCAAGGATGTGGTCCAACAGTACAATGTATTCGTGTTTTTGTTCATCTTTTTGATGTTCTGAATTCCAGGAATCCGTTGGCGAGAAATTTCAAGGCACCAATTAGAAGATCAAACTATCAGTACACAAAGAGGTTTCTAGATGAGGCAAGTGAGTACATTCGAAATCTGAAAGGTCCAGACGGTCGGTCGATCCTTACATCAAAAAGGAAAACAGGATTTCTTGGTTTCCTTTTGTGCATTCATGCTGTTGTGGGATTAGCAGAAGATCTCGTTAATGCGGAGAATCCTGTCCTGAAGTATCTCCTGATGTACAAGATGAGCCAAGATCACTTGGAATGATTCTTTTTAGCTGTGCGAGCTTGTGGTGGGTGGAATAATAATCCAACAACTTGCCAATTCGTAGCAGCATACAAGCAACTGCTGATGAGGCACAACATCAAAGGAGGATGTGGAAACTGCACTCCTCAAGATGATACGGAGATATTGAACAGTGTCCAGGATCAACATGAAATCAACTCCGTACCTACTGGAATTTCTGATATGGCAATTGCAAGGAGATATGACTTGGAGATGAGACAGCGAGCTGCAGATGATCACGACTACTGTGATGTTTCGAACGCCATGGAACTGAGTACAAAGAGGCGGCCATATCGTATATCTCTGGGTATGTGGTGAAGATGGTGGAGAAAAAGATCCACTGTCCGCAATGTCTAACAGCGTTGACAACGAACAAAGAAAGCATTCCAGATTTATTCATAACATGGAAAATGACTGGAGGCGTGAAACTGCCATCACTCGGCCTTATCAAAATATGCGAGGAAACAGAGAAGTGTGTAATGAGAATGCTAAATGTAAATGGAGGTGGTTTACCACATAGCGCTGGACTTTCAAGTGCGATTGCTATGACAGTGTTATCAGTCTGTGTTGAAAGCAAGGTCTTGATTCTACTCCAGGAAACAACCCTGTTTTTAAATTGATTAAATGCTGCTGCCAGAGTTACGTGACGATCCGAATGCACCATTTGAGCAAGACGAGAAATGTGGGAATGCACAAGAAGATAGTACGTAAACAGTTTTCGAAGCTTGTGCTATTCAAACACCAGTAGTTTTCAGCCTGGGCACAACTGTGCTTTCGAGGTAGTTGCCCGTACCTATTAATACAATGTCAACGATTAGTTCAATTAAGCTGATGACTCGTAGTGATGTTCTGCATGTCTCTGAGAACTGTAAATTTCTATTTCAAAAGCAATCTTGAATTGCTTAACTTGTTCAGACGGTTACGTTATGACAATGTTGACAGTATGATTATACATAATGTGATATGTAGTGTAAATATGCTGTTTTTTTGTCTCATATGAACATTTAGTAAATTGTACATATTTTAATAGGTCAGTCGAAAAACGACAACAACAGCCATGTTGATTTTAAAAGGTATTCCATGCTTATATTTCAGTCAATTGTTTGTTATTTTACAGGGGCAAAACTACCAGGGACATGTCACATCCCAGTCTCTATTTTGTCAGGCAAATTTTGAAAACATTTGAGTGTCTCGGATTGAAAAGTAATAGTTGCAGTAAATTTTGATAAATATTACTGAAACATTTTACCTTTGGCCATACCCTTTTGGTCGGACAAAATATGTTTCCCCCTTCCACCCCTCCCCAAATATCGAAGTTTCGCCTCTGGTTATTTAGAAGCCATCAACTATTGAGGTGTCATATATGTACTTTTTTATTTAGGAAAATGCCATAATTGTGGCCAGAAAGGCCACAAATTGATAGATTGCATAAAATGTATGTGTTTTAATTCCTATTATTTTTTCAAAAAATTTAATGCAAAGACTAATCCTACCTCATAAAACATATGGGCTATAACAGGGCAGTCATTATAGTGTGGTCAGTAGGCAGTTGCTAGTTTCTATATTACAAATGCTTGTTAAATTAGAGATACAATAGTAAATTTTATTCCTTTTCCTCTGTTTACAACTTACAATCATGATCAAGCAAGTAAGTTTAGAAAATGTTATGATTTTTGTATTGTAATAATTGACTCAATTGAATTCAGAATCTATGAATCTGTCTTGTAGGAAGAAGATGTTATCAATGTGGTAAGCCGGACCACATTGCAAGGCAATGCAGGAAAAGAGAGAGTTCGGGCCTGGCTTGCGTACCATATATAATCACCTTGTAGAATGACAAGGCAAGTTGATGATCTTACAGATAAAGTTGAAAATCTACAGAAGAAATTGAGAATAGACCAGCAGAAAACAAGGAGGAGGAATAAGAAGGTTAGCACGTTGACTGCAGTGGTAAGTGAATTGAGAGAAAAAAATCTAATCAATAGTGATTGTGCGACTATTCTAGAATCAACTTTTTCTGGAGTTCCAAAGGAACTAATGAAGAGGTTGGTGACACAAAAGAAAAAGAAAAATCTCGGGGTGTATCCACCTGAGCTAAGGTCATTTGCCCTGACCTTGAAATTTTATTCAACTAAAGCGTATAACTATGTGCGAATAAAGTTTTGATTTAGGGCTGCCACATGTAAACGTGATTCGGCCATGGTATAGTTCCACGAATGGCGACCCAGGTTTTACAAAGGACGCACTGACAGCATTGAAAGCCAAAGTTATAGCTGCAAAAAGAGATAACCACGAAGTTGTTTGTGCACTAATGCTTGATGAAATGGCCATACGCAAGCATGTTGAATGGGACGGCAAGCAGTTTCGCAGTTATGTTGATCTTGGCACAGGCATCAATGATGACTCTCTGGCCGAAGCAACAGATGCTCTTGTTTTTATGGCAGGCTCGGTGAACTCCGATTGGAAAGTACCATGCGGATATTTTCTAGTAAGGGTCTTACTGGAGAGGAGAAAGCCAACTTAACCAAAGAATGCATAACCAAGTTGCATGAAGTAGGGGTGAAGGGTGTCTTTTACATGCGATGGCCCCATGTCTCACCAGGCGATGTTGAAATTGCTCGGTGCTCAACTGTTACCTGGCAACAAGCGTACTTCCAACATCCATGTGACTCGACAGCCATGATTTATATTTTCCTAGATGCTTGTCACATGATAAATTTGGTAAGAAACACCATGTCGGACTGGAAGGTCCTAAAGGATAAGGATGGCAACGCCATCAAGTGGCAATTCCTTGAGGAATTACATAAATTACAAGAGTCAGAGGGCTTACATCTTGCCAATAAGCTCCGATCCGCTCATATCAAATGGAAGCCACAGAAAATGAAGGTAAACCTAGCAGCACAGGCACTCAGTTCGAGTGTTGCAGATGCCTTGGAGTATTGTGAAGCTGAAATTGCCACAATTTCAAGGATGTGGTCCAACAGTACAATGTATTCGTGTTTTTGTTCATCTTTTTGATGTTCTGAATTCCAGGAATCCGTTGGCGAGAAATTTCAAGGCACCAATTAGAAGATCAAACTATCAGTACACAAAGAGGTTTCTAGATGAGGCAAGTGAGTACATTCGAAATCTGAAAGGTCCAGACGGTCGGTCGATCCTTACATCAAAAAGGAAAACAGGATTTCTTGGTTTCCTTTTGTGCATTCATGCTGTTGTGGGATTAGCAGAAGATCTCGTTAATGCGGAGAATCCTGTCCTGAAGTATCTCCTGATGTACAAGATGAGCCAAGATCACTTGGAATGATTCTTTTCAGCTGTGCGAGCTTGTGGTGGGTGGAATAATAATCCAACAACTTGCCAATTCGTAGCAGCATACAAGCAACTGCTGATGAGGCACAACATCAAAGGAGGATGTGGAAACTGCACTCCTCAAGATGATACGGAGATATTGAACAGTGTCCAGGATCAACATGAAATCAACTCCGTACCTACTGGAATTTCTGATATGGCGATTGCAAGGAGATATGACTTGGAGATGAGACAGTGAGCTGCAGATGATCACGACTACTGTGATGTTTCGAATGCCATGGAACTGAGTACAAAGAGGCGGCCATATCGTATATCTCTGGGTATGTGGTGAAGATGGTGGAGAAAAAGATCCACTGTCCGCAATGTCTAGCAGCGTTGACAACGAACAAAGAAAGCATTCCAGATTTATTCATAACATGGAAAACGACTGGAGGCGTGAAACTGCCATCACTCGGCCTTATCAAAATATGCGAGGAAACAGAGAAGTGTGTAATGAGAATGTTAAATGTAAATGGAGGTGGTTTACCACATAGCGCTGGACTTTCAAGTGCGATTGCTATGACAGTGTCATCAGTCTGTGTTGAAAGCAAGGTCTTGATTCTACTCCAGGAAACAACCCTGTTTTTAAATTGATTAAATGCTGCTGCCAGAGTTACGTGACGATCCGAATGCACCATTTGAGCAAGACGAGAAATGTGGGAATGCACAAGAAGATAGTACGTAAACAGTTTTCGAAGCTTGTGCTATTCAAACACCAGTAGTTTTCAGCTTTCGAGGTAGTTGCCCGTACCTATTAATACAATGTTAATGATTAATTCAATTAAGCTGATGACTCGTAGTGATGTTCTGCATGTCTCTGAGAACTGTAAATTTCTATTTCAAAATATGAACATTTAGTAAATTGTACATATTTTAATAGGTCAGTCGAAAGAGAACAACAGCCATGTTGATTTTAGAGGTATTCCATGCTTATATTTCAGTCAATTGTTTGTTATTTTACAGGGGCAAAACTACCGGGGACATGTCACACCCCAGTCTCTATTTTGTCAGGCAAATTTTGAAAACATTTGAGTGTCTCGGATTGAAAAGTAATAGTTGTAGTAAATTTTGATAAATATTACTGAAACATTTTACCTTAGGCCATACCCTTTTGGTTGGACAAAATATGTTTCCCCCTTCCACCCCTCCCCAAATATCGAAGTTTCGCCTCTGGTTATTTAGAAGCCATCAACTATCGAGGTGTCATATATGTACTTTTTTATTTAGGAAAATGCCATAATTGTGGCCAGAAAGGCCACAAATTGATAGATTGCATAAAATGTATGTGTTTTAATTCCTATTATTTTTTCAAAAAATTTAATGCAAAGACTAATCCTACCTCATAAAACATATGGGCTATAACAGGGCAGTCATTATAGTGTGATCAGTAGGCAGTTGCTAGTTTCTATATTACAAATGCTTGTTAAATTAGAGATACAATAGTAAATTTTATTCCTTTTCCTGTGTTTACAACTTACAATCATGATCAAGCAAGTAAGTTTAGAAAATGTTATGATTTTTGTATTGTAATAATTGACTCAATTAAATTCAGAATCTATGAATCTGTCTGGTAGGAAGAAGATGTTATCAATGTGGTAAGCCGGGCCACATTGCAAGGCAATGCAGGAAAAGAAAGAGTTCGGGGCCTGGCTTGCGTACCATATACAATCATTGCACTTTCAACTTGACAGCAGGCAATTTACCCAAAGAAAACTAACCAATATGATATACATGTACATGCAGGTAACTTTAATCATGGTTTCAATTTCTTTAATTTTCATGTGTACAAATACCAATCCGACATGAATCAGTTGCTACTTAAGATTTGGTCAAACTAATTAATGTACCTTAAAGGCACATTGTTTTACACACAAGTAACCAGGTTAAAATTCATCTGTATATATCCTGGTTAGTTTTCATTGGGTAAATTGCTTGTAATTGTTATTTAACACAGTCATGCAATATTGCACTTATTCAATTAAAGAACTTTAAAAGGGCAAATCTTGGTTTAAGCTTTTAGAGGGAAATACAGAGCTTTCCAATTCAATATATGGTGAACAAGCCATTGACTCAGTCCACTTAGTCAAGTACAATTATGATGCACTGTTCTTTTGGTAGACATTTAAGTCCCATTTCCTTCTCTGTCATATTTCAGGATTTTCAGGGGAAAGGTTTCCTCTTTATAAGGGCCAGTTTCAGAATAAGAAAAAAATAGAAAAACTATTTAGATCGAAACATGGAAAGCATAATGTCTAAACGAATGGCGCTGAACTAATTCAACTACTGTAAATGCAATATAAGTACAACTAACTTGGTCAAACTTGTTGAAAAGACTATACTGTCTAAAACTTGTCGTATTAATTAATTTAATGAATAAATGAAACAATTGCCTGGTTTGATATTTTAATTGATTTTTGTGGAATATTCCATACTGTTTATTAATTTAAATAAATGTTATTGTATTTCATATTAAAATTTTCAATGATATAATTAAATACTTGTGGTTATAAATACAAATTATTATGTAAATATATAAAATTTATTAAAATATTCAATTATAACATATATTTTGTGACTTCTCTCTCCATACTAACATCAAATCATTGTTTGTTACTTGATCGCTGAAAATACTATAATATGTTTAATGCACAGTGTGAATTGGATTGATTCTGAGAAAATTATGAGATATAAATTAAGACCAGTACATTTTTAAACATTTCCCCCAAAATGACTAAATCACTATATAGTTCAACTACGTACTTCAACAAATCTATATGTCATCAAAAATGTTTAGTTTTCTTTATTTGTGTTACTTAGGCACGTTCTTTGATCCCTGCTGATCAGCAGAGATAATGGTACAAAACCTCTAATTTTCAGACCATGGTCATAACAGCACAGTGTAATTTCATGACCACATACAGTACTGACTACCAAATAACGCATCAGATTCCTCACAGCAATGATTCATCTCATGTTTAAATAAGAGAACTCTTGGTCTATAAAAATATAAAACAGTTTAATTATTATGTAAAATTAAACTACATGTTAATGAAACACAGACCATTTATTCAGTGTGAAAAAAATATTGTAGAATTGAGGTAATGTTGATCATTGATTGATATTCTTATGCAAATATTTCTGACGTTCAGACCACCAACTGTTACATACTGTGTAAGTGTTTGGTGAGAATTTAATTAAGGGTTTCACATGGCAATGCTGATGTCACTCTAAAAATGTTGAAGGGTTTTTGTAGATGAAAATTTCGAGTGTAGATTTTATACAGTTTTAGACCTGATAACCAGGACCAGCTTGCAAAAGATGCAACTATATTTTTTAGGTTGGTTAGGTAAGTGACACATACTACCTTCAACAGTTAGTGTAGTTCTATTGAGTGTGATGTCCAAAATCCTTAAGATAGTTACATGAATTTGCAATTGCAGCTCAGCAACTGTAGCTGATCAATTAGCCTTTCTAACGATGATGAATATCTGCCATTTTTGGATGGCATCCAATTCTCATTAACCAGTACAGGCAATAGACCTTATGCATAATGATGTCACAAGGCTTGATGCCTGCAAGTTATGCTGGTCTTAATAGTCATCGCCCGGGAAAATTAAACGATTCAAAATGACCACTATCAAAACCCCTCGCGGGCCTCAAGCCTTGTGACATCATTATGCATAAGGTCTATTAAAACAATGTGACAAGCAATTTTGCAGAATAAATTAACCATTTACAAAACAAATTTACCATCATTCGTACAAAAAATTATAAAAAAGTTGCTATTATGTGGACTTATCGCAGACTTCGGCTGAAATGCCACCCAAAAATGGCGGTGTGAGATAGGCTAATTGGTTCGAACCATAGATATCTTATATACACTAGATAGTGCATCTAATTATTCTGCAATTCAAAAATTGAAGCCGTGATTGCAGTCTCAGGTCGTTCCCATGAAATGAGAAGATTTGTATGTTTTCTATTTCTTAAACAGGGAACTTAAACATTAAGTTAATCCTATTGCAAATACGTTTTTAAACTATTCAAATGATGAAAGTTATTGTTGTTGTTTTTAAGCGTTTTATTAGCAAGTGGGAATGACCAACATGGCCGCCATCTATTCAAATGGGGGTAACCACTGGAATATTTTTGGCTTCAATTTTACTAAAAGGGATGCGCTCTCTAGTGTATATAAGATATCTATGGTTCGAACACAGCAAGCAACAGAATCACATGGCTGCAGGTTTCTTCCAGTCAGAGGGTCCACATAGAATTCTGCTTAGAAATATAGTTTTATTATGTAAATAAACTGTCTTATTGCAGCTTAATGCACCCTACTTTTATAATTGATCTGTAAATCAGAAATTTTACTTGTTGAGGGCAGAGTGCTCAAATTCTCCTCAAGAGTTAACCCCAAGGGAACTGATAGTGGGCCTGCAAGCAAGGCCTGGTATTTTGTACTTTACTGCTGGATTCTATAATTAGGTCAGTGATTCATCACAAAGGCATAGACAAAGGCTCTCAAAAGGCATAAGCTTAAAATTCGAAAATTGATCACTTTTTTCCATTACAAATGGAACAAGAACAGACTGTTTATTGTTTACTAGAAGGAAGAGATGTTTTTGCCGTTATGCCAATGAGGATTGCTTGTCGTGAGGTGTTGGAATAGCAACATTTAATACGACTGGGGTAAACTATAGTAACCTTTACTTGAGTTTCATTAATTTCAAACAGACGATACGTTATATGTTCCTCAAGAAAATTATCTTTTGGTTGATGTTGAGATGCAGTTGCATGTAAGCCTATTCAAAATACTTTGCGATTTACAAGGCTTCGCTGAGAGAGCAAAACAGAAGACGGTATTAAATTGTTGTTTGAAACGAAACGATCTGGACTCTGAACGCTCTCTTCTTTTGTAGAGTTCTCACAAAATGAAATAACTGAAATAAATTTCTTACTTTCTGCCACCAACAAGAATTGCACACACGATCTGATAAGTGAGACAATTTATTTATTACAATGGCAACAGCGAAGCACACATTATAAATGCTGATGTGGTCGCACGACTTCCCTCGCGATTTGAAGTTTGAGACTGGTTTTCTGTTGAAATTCGTCTTAATTTGCCTGTTCCGATTTTAGTTGAAAATGAGCAATTGTAAATTTGGCAATTACTGACTGCGTTGCTTGCTTTTTGGAGTTTTAACACAGGCATTTACACATTGTTTCTATTTTGAATATTAAAGCAGAGAAAACCCTGCAACATTTTAATGCGAGTTTGTTTGTTAATATTTGGGTTGCTGTCATTGGTTCTTTTTTGACAATTGACGTGCGAATGGGGCGTGTTATGAAAAGGGGCGTTTTACAAAATACCGGGCCTGCATGCGGGCTATGCCAAATGCTGTCTCTGTAGTGGAGCACAGTTCTGGAACCATTCCAGTTAATGCCGATTTGCTAGCTAGCAAAATATCAAAATTAGTTTTGGAAGGGCTGAAGCCTTCCAGGCGCAAGCAAAATACAGCAAGCATAGCAGCATCAGTAGGTAATTCGCCAAGGCGACAGGCGAAAGCAAGCAATCTTCTGGAATTTATTGAGGAAGT